GGGGCGGGCACTAGCTTGTCCCCTGGTTGGCAGGGCTCCACATCAGGAGCGAGAAAGGAATTTGGTAATCTCAAAGATTCAGTTTCGGTTTCTTCCCTCCTTCTGCCCTAACAATAAATAACGAAAATAAACTTAAAGAGACAGAGGGGTTGCCAAGCACACTGGGCTCAGGCCTGGCCCGCCTGCTGTTTCCAAAAAATGGCCAAAAGGGAATAGCCCTTGTCTGGGCAGCCCGGGGCCCCGTCCTTTGCTTTCTGCACTGACCAAGGAAGGGGGTAGGAGGGAGGGCTCAGCCCACCAGCGCATGCCTCCCACCTCCCTGAGAAGGGATGGCAGTAGATCTCCCATCCTGACCAAAGTCCTCCCACAGACTGCTCACCCCAAGTTCCAGCAAGTAAGGAGGGCTTGCATGGCCACATCCCATTGGGGCCCTCTGGCCTGACCTAGCCCTGCCCCACAGTGGGGTGGGTGGGATCCTGGGTAAGGCCCACCTGTGCTGGGAGGGTACACCTGCGAGTTTTGACACCTAGGTCCTGGGGCCTGAGAGACTCTCGGAGAACGGGACAGTGGAGAAACGGTCCATTGAGGACACCGGGGGGCGGGGGGAAGGGGGACGGGTCAGCAAAAATGCTTTCAGGATGGATGGAGGGGGAGAACCTGGTCCACACAGACCACTGGCTCCCCAGAGGACCAGGCATGGAGGTTGTGGCCACTCTCTCCTGGGTAGAGGCGGCCCAGCTCTATCCTGCAGCCAGAGCCGAGCGGTGGGACCAGACTGGGCAGCAGGAAGGAAGTACAACGGGAAGAGAGCCTGCAGAGGAAGTGGACCCCTCACAGCCCCTCACCCTCAGGAAGCAGCGGCTCATCAACATCTAAAAATAGGCCACCGATACAGCCCCCACTAGCTCAGTGGGCTGGGGCGGGGGGCTCCACCCCACCTGCTGGAGAGCCTCTCGGCCCACCTCGCCCTGTGAAGGGGTACACACAGAGGACTCTACCCTCTGGGGCTGGGGTGGCGGCCTCAGGCAGGCCCCGGATACCCTACCCTGCCCTGACACAGGAAGCCTGCGGGGACAGATGCTGGGTGTCCAGATGTGCTGTGTGCAGGGGCTGAGTGTGAGGTGTGTGCCGTATGTGTGTGCAGTGTGTGTGTAGTATGTACGTGTGTGTGCGCTGTATGTGTTATGTATGAGTGTGTGTGGGATACATGAGTGTGTGTGCGGTGCATGTGAGTGTGCGTTGTGTGTGGTATGTATGTGTGTGTGCTATGTGTGTGTTGTGTGTGGTATGTACGAGTGTGTGCTGTGTGTGGTATGTACGAGTGTGTGTGTGTTATGAGCGTGTGTGGGATATATGAGTGTGTGCTGTGTGGTATGTATGTGTGTGTGTATTGTGTGTGTGGTATGTATGAGTGTGTGTGTGTTATGAGTGTATGTGAGATATATAAGTGTGTGCACTGTGTGTGTGGTGCATGAGTGTGTGTTGTGTGGTACGTATGTGTGTGTGCTATGTACGAGTGTGTGTGTGTGTGTGTGTGTGTGTTATGAGCATGTGTGGGATATATGAGTGTGTGCACTGTGTGTGTGGTATATGTGAGTGTGTGCTGTGTGTCGGTGGCTGGTACATGGGGCTGGTACAGTGTGTGCTGTGTGTCGGTGGCTGGTACATGGGTCTGGTACAGTGTGTGCTGTGTGTCAGTGGCTGGTACATGGTGCTGGTACAGCTCAGCATCTGCTGGGTCACACCACATCCTACCTGGAACCTGGAGGGTGAATGCGTAGGGCCAGTTCTGTAGCCCTGACACTCTGCGCAGTATGGGGGCTGGTCTGTGGGGCTGGAAAGGTCCCAGCAAGCAGAAGGTGACAGGTGAGCAGCCCTGCCCCCACGCCACGTGTCTCTCAAAACAGCAGGGTGTGTGCTGTCCCTGTGAGCTCTCCCCACCACAGGTTCCCGAGTGTTGGGGTGAAGGCTTGGACTCTGGGTGTTTGAGGCGGCATCTCTGTCAGAGTTTAGGAGCAGCTAGAACACAGGGTCACCATGGGTCATCAATCAGCCCTGCTTGGTGCCCACAGACTGCAGAGCCAAGAGACGCTCAGGGCCCCTGCCCGCCCCTGCCGGCTCGCCTGTTGGGGTGAATCACAGTTCCTCTCCTGAGCCAGCCCCATGGCCACCTCACCAAGGCGCTCTACAGAGACATCTGTCACGAGTCGGAGGGCCGGGCAGCCAGCCACCCAACGGGAGCCCCTCCACTGCCCAGCCCTGAGAACCCAGCAGGCACAAGAAACTCTCACCCCACCCCGCCTGGTCCCGGTCCGCTGGCAACGGATCCACCAAGTGACAGCCACGTGTTGTCTGCAAGTGAGACTGGAACCCCACTGAGCTGGACCTTCAGCTGGGCCACCTGGGGAGCAGCCAGCAGATCCATTAAGGGGAGGGCATAGCTCCTCTCCCTGCAGACCTCTCAGGAGTCTCCAAGGAGACATCCAGCATCACGCCCATTGCAGAGTGGGGAAAAGTTGAGGTTCAGCAGCCTGCCGGTCAGCAGGATGGGGTTCCTCATCTCTTGGACCTCCTCCCAGGTCAGTTATAGTGGGCAGGACTTTCACTAGGATCTCTGTGGACCAATGCCTCTGATCCAGAGTGGGTAGGAGATGTGGGTGTGGGGTGTTGGTGGGAGGACGACTGTGGATGGGGGGTGTAGATGTGGGGTTCCAGAAGGAAGGCATGGGTGTGGAGGTGGGGTGAGGGTAGGAAGGTGGAGCTGTGGGGTCTGGTTGAGGCAGAGATGTGGATGTGGGGTGTAGGGGGGAGTGTGGAGGTGGGGTGCAAGCAGGGGAGGAGAGGCAATGCTCCGCTGTGGGCTGGGCTTCTTTCAGCTACACCAGGTAGGAGAAGCAGGCGAACCCTCAGACTTCCTCCTTCCCTCCTTTTGAAAACAGAACTTTTAAAAAGAAGTTGCTGGCCTCGTCTCTGGGCAAATCTGCCCCCATCCAGGTTCCGGGCATGGAGAACACTGGCTCACTTGGGGCCAGAACCACCTGCCTGGCACCGCAGGGCACCTCCTATACAAATGGCTGCCTCTCCCTCTCCTTAGCTGTGGTCCCTGCAGACCAGCATGCCCAGCGCCCATTCCATGTCAAAACTCCTAACTGGCCACTGAGCACATTAACTTAAGCCAACCAGCTCAGGAGGGGGCTGGGGGAGCCCACTCTAAAAGGGGAGGCAGCCCAGTCAGGGACTCCACCCAGGCTCCTCTCATACCCCAAGGAGCCCACCGTTGGCCACTGGGCACACAGGACTGTGGCTGGGGGTAGAGGGGGGCATGAGGCTGACCCACCTTTCAAGGCAGAGGAGAGTAGGGTGAGACCTTGGAAACTTTTCTTGAGTCATAAGAGAGTGAGAAGGGGATGGGAGGCCTCCACCAGCTGCCCTGCTGGGGAAACCACCAGACTCGCCCAAGTGGGGTTCGTTCCTTCAGGGGGTTGCCCAGTCCCTCAAACTCCCAGGCGCAAACCCTAAATTCTGAGAAGCCCCCCTCCCTTTATTTATCCTTCCTTCCCTACCAGGGTCCTGACCCTTCTCATACAGGGACTGCAAAGGCCAGTGGATGGACAGGCACCTGAGCCTCAGCTTACTGCTCTCCGCTTGTCTGAACTGCTCTTATCCTTGGCTCCTGGGGGTCGTCCCAGGCAGGGGAAAGCCCAACACTGCAGCCTCCCTGCTCCCCGCCTGGGGAACTCCCACAGTGCCCTCCCTAGGCCAGCAGCGAGCAGGCCGGATGTGACCCTCACTCCCAGCTGGGACAGAGGCCAGTCTCTGTCCTCCCCCAGGCTCCTCCCAAATACTTCCCTAGTGGCCCCAGCAGGGCCAGATGGGAAACAGATGTCCACCGTTCCAGCCCCGTCTGACCAGGGGCCATCTTATTAGTTTACTATGCTAGTCCACCCGGATTCCTTCTGTGGGGACGCTGAGCAGACTGAGATGGCTCCGAAGGGGTACCAGGGAGGGGTATAAAAGAGTGGCCAAGGCTAAGGGGTTGAATGAGGTCCTTCCGAACCAGCAAAGGCTTCCAAGCCTCTCCGCAATTCCAAGACTGGACAAGAAAAAAAAAAAAAACAATCTAACTGCATCCCGGCAGGTCAGGGGAAAACAGCTCTCCGGAGAGGGCAGGGGGCGGACCCTGGAGACCCTCCCTCCGCACAGGGGCTGCCATCCAATGACCATGTGGGTCTTTCTTTCCAAAACACTCTGACATCAGGAGCAGGCGCTTACTTGGAAGCAACGCCAGATCTCCCAGACACCCACTGCCCTGGGCCAAGTCTGAATGATTCTCAAAGTCTCCCAGTCCGTGGCATCCAAGCGTGTGGTGGGGTACTGGTGGTAACCCCCTAGCTGGGCCGCCACTGTGCTGGACCCCTGCAATCGGACATGCCTGGGCTAAGGAATTTCCAATCCACCCTCTGCCTGGGATTCGGAAAGGGACCCCGGAGTGAAGGGTGGGCTGCGCTTGGGGCGGAAGGCGATGCCAGCCTGAAGGCCCCCACCTAGCCACCCCTCCAGGGGCGGCGGCCCGATGAGCTCATGGGGGCGGGGCGCCAGGAGCCCCGCCCCCAAGCCCCCCTTCCTTCCGTCCCGCACAGCAGGGTGGTCCCAGAAATTACAGCCCCGGACTCGAGTGACGCTGGCGCGGCAGAAGACAGCCCGGACCCATCACCTGTGGGTTGGCAGCTCTGAGTGTCCAGGTCCCCGGCACAGCGGTCCCCATGCCCCGGGGCTCGGAGCCCCTGACGCGCAAAGGTGGGCGCCTGGAAATCCGGCCCACCGTCGGGGGGCGCAATGGCCCCGAGAGACCCCTTCGCCGCACCGGCCGGCCCCAGCCACCCACCCGTCCGTGCCGGCGCCCACAGGTGGCTACAACTTGGTGGCCCGCAGTAGTCAGGCCCGCGGGCTGCGCCCCTCAGCCGGGCCTACCGAGCCTCCCGCGCGCCCCGGCCGCTCACCCAGAAGACGAAATTGAAGACGAAGAGCAGGTACTTGATGCACTTGGTGCAGCCCTCTACCCCCATGGCGGCGCGACGGGCGGCCCTTGGGGCGCGGGCAGGACGGGCAAGAGGGCCGAGCGGGCGCGGGAGGCGCGCAGGAAGCGGAGCCGGGAGGCCTGGTCCGGTGAGCGCTGGGTCGCCGCTGCCACCGCTGCTGCTGCTGCTGCTATTGCGCGCGCTCTCTCCCCCTCTGGCCGGGCGCGCGCCCCGCTCCGCGCCGCTTATAGGACGCCCGTGGCCCCACCCCCGGGTCCAGCTACGCGCCCCTCCGCCGGGCCTTCGCCCCCGCCCCGCCCCGCCCCGCCGCGCTGCGTGCCCCTGAGCGTGCGCGGTTGCAGGCTGCCGGAGCGCCGTTGACTGGGCGGGAGTGCCAGCTTGGTCGCATCCCGGCCTATCCCTCACTTGCACCGACACTTCGAGGTTTCAGACCTTCGTGCATCCAAGAAGTGGCCGCCGAACTGATGTGGCGCTTGAGGACCGGCTTCAGGGGAGGAGGCCTTCTTCCTTCCTCCAATCTTGCGCCTTGGGCAATCCTGGAAGGCTCCTAGGAGGAGGTGATGTCCTGGCCGACTATGCAAAGAACGGGTCGTGCTTAGTTTAAATCGCTTTCGAGACAGGACCTGGGGCGGGCGACTAGGGGTCTGGGGGTCTGTAGGGCGCTGACCTGACAGGCTAAAATACCACGCTTTCGGGCGGCTACGCGCTTGCCCTTTAGAAAGCGCTTTTGCTAACGCACGTTAGGGGAGCCTTCCTTTGAAGAGTCATTCACATGTCTGGGAGGCCAGAACCACGTGTGGGAAGACCTCCAAATGTCTTGTTAATGAGCATCCTGGGTGGTGCCAGGGACCCCCATTTCCCTCTGCATCTCTGGAGACGTGGGACCAACTCCTTCTTCTTGCTTTGTTTGGGCTCTTGGTGGAAGGGAGGGGGTGCTCATCCTGCTAGGTTGCACCAGGAAAACTTGTGGTCAGGGCAGGAGAGGGTCACTGGGGCCAAATCTGGAGGAGCATCGTGAGGCGGCCAGTTCATGTCACCAAAACACCATCCACCACAGCGTTACGCATATAACTTTCTGTGATGATGGAAACTTTCCAGCCACCATGGAGATGTTTTCCATCTGCGGTTACCGCAGATGCAGACTCCCAAGCGCTTGTGGCTACTGCCAGCGAGGAACTTTAAGTTGCATTTCATTGCCATTTTTCAATAACCAGGAAGGCCACTCTAGTCTATTAATCTGTGTTGTAAACTGTGTTCTTGATAATTTGTAAATCTGCTTTGTATTCTATCTTGTATAACTGCAAGGGAGTTTATAATTGTTGTTGTTAAGTGCCGTCGAGTCGGTTCCGACCCATAGCGACCCTGTACAGGGTTTCCAAAGGAGCAGAAAGCCTCATTTTTCTCCCGCGGAGCGGCTGGTAGTTTCGAACCACTGACCTTAAGGTTCGCAGCCCGATTCGTAACCACTACGCTACCAGAACTGCAAGGGAGTTTATAATTAGTGAGTTTATACCTCGTTTCATGTTTTGTGCATAGCTAAGTGATTGTTGTTAAGTGCCAGGGAGCGCTGATTCATAAATACCCTTTATAATGTTTCTGAGAAACAGCTGGTGGGTTTGAAGCGCTGATCTTCTGGTTAGCAGTCCAGTGCTTAATATCACCAAGACTCAGCTAAGTGATATCATAAAAATATCTAAGTCTTCGGTGGAGGGTCTACTATAATTTTTTTCAATTTTAAATGAAAGTAGACAGAACGGGTCTGAAGTATAAGCAGACACTTACTTGTAGACATCCCAGGCTCCCTATTCCCTTCAGTTTCCCTGTCACAGACGGAATTGTTTATGGTTGTGAAGTGCCATCGGAGTCGGTACTGACTCATAGCGACCCTGTGTAGGGTTTCCAAGAAGTGGCTGGTGAGCTTGAACAGCCAATCTTGCGGTTCAAAGCAGCCTTGCAGTCCAGTGCATTAACCCACAGCACCACACCAAGACTCCATAGGTTAAATTGCGTTCCCCTAAAATCTGTGTCAGCTTGGCTCAGTGCTGATCCTCAGTGATGTGATAAACCAGTAAGAGGATTAGGGTGGGCTGCAACACCCTTAAAGCCAGCCCAGCTGCCAGGAGCCAGCCCCCGCAAATTTATTTCAAGGGTTTTTCCGAAGGTACACGGAGTCAATAAGTCGTAATTAATTCAAATATCTTCTTGTTACATGCTTTATTCTCATTTCTATGCTACTGTACTCTCTCATTCTTTACTCCCCTGCTCCTGCTCTACATTACTCCGTCTATCCTCCCTCCATTCTTTGTCTCCTCTCCACCTCATATTCCTTCTTCTCTCCCTTCCTCTCTTCTCCTTCCTTCTACTTACCGCTACTTACTCTACTCCCTCTATTCTTTCTTACAACTCCCTTCTATTCCTTTACAAAAAACATTGCTTTCATAGTAATCAATGATATCAAAGTACAATCAAGTCTGGGGCACATTCTTCATGATTTACAACAGGGATGAAAAGTTACAACAAGGACATTGTATCTCAAGGCATAGGAGACATTCAGGTGCCTTGAAACCTTTTAGTGAAACATTTGTTCCTACATAAATCTATTCTTTTCTCTGAGAAGCAAGTTAACCTTTCCGTGTTCCTTATCCTTTGTAAGTCATCAAGCCTAATTGTCAGGTGCAATTTACACTTCCTTAATTCTTCCTACAGAAACATCCCTTCTCAGGGAAGCTGAGGCTATGAAAACAATTCCCCTATTTCATTGTCTTAAACTAAGGCTACAAGGAAGAATGTTTACAGTCACTAAACCTAAGCTGGTAGTAATTCAATTGACAAATCCTGTCTCCTAATAGTGTTAAGAATATTGTTAATATAAGTATTAAAACTACCTATGATTACAAGTAGAATAAAATGTAGCTGGCATATGACTTCTAACCTTTAATAAAAATATACTAAAGTGTAGGAGAGTCAAAATCTAAAGTAAAAGGGATACTAATAAAATCATGAATAAATCAGAGAATGATTCAAAAGGAAAAAAAATAACTAGGGGTCTGCACATAGAATATTTCTTGTGGCTTTGCCATCCAAAGAAAAGAATTCATCGTAGCTCTGCTAAAACAATGAATTCTTCTATGCCCAGGTTTCCCCATGTCTCATTTATTTATTTTAATTCTTTGATTAATAAAATTCCATATTATTATTATGGCCCCCACCACCCAGCCGTGAGCCCATGTAGGGGAGTGGCCTGCAACACCTTTTATCTTACGAGACATATAAGGAGGGAGACGCGAGCTGAGAAAGAGGGACCTGCAGTCCCAAGAAGTCCAGGTGTGATGCTGTGGGCAGAGGCTGAGATTCAGAAAGGAGGTCGCTGGGCTGAGCACAGGGAGCTTGGGGAAGATGGCTGGACACTACATTTGGGAAGCTGGGTGACATTGAATGGCTTATGGTGGGAGCAAGTGGAGGAACTGGGCAGGGAAGGGGCTGGCCAGGCCTGACTGACTGGATGGGGAGCAGGGGTAGCCACACCGGAGCTGACGCTCAGGACACTTGGCCTTACTCAGGATCGTGGGGTCTAAGCGGCCTCCTCGTGGTCTGGTTCACTCTGGCTCTCCCCGAGGAGGGACCAACTGTATCATATGTCTATACAGCAGCTCAAGTGCTTTAATAGTCTTCAGCACCAGCTTGACCAGAGGCTCCCATACCTTGAGATGTGTGCTGGTGGGATTCAGGGAGTGAGCATACTCTGATAGCTGGGCCCCACAGAGCTTGAGACTTGGCCTCCGCATCCCATGGACGGGTACCCACTTGATCCATTATAGCTGAGGGGTACTGCCCTGTGGCCAGGCGTGGCATCCGAGCCCTTGCCCACTGGCCAGAGAAAGTTGATGGTGTGAGGGGTGCAGAGAGCAGGACGTGGAACACCCGCTGTCTTTGGCTCCTCTGTATACTGGGGTCATTGGTGTCCCCACTAAACCATGTTGACCTAGATTGGAAATAGGGTCTTTGCAGATATAATTGATGAAAATACGGTGAGGCTGCATGGGGTAGAGCAAAGCCTACTGTGATGGTGGTATCTTTATTAACAGGGGGATCTGGACATGGGACCCTCAGGAGGAGGACATGTGAAGACAGGTTGAGACCAGAGTGGTCCACCCACAAGCTAAGGAATGCCTGCCATCACCAGTTACCACCTGAAGCTAGGAGAGACACCCAATCGATTCTTTCTCAGGAGCCCCAGCAGGTAAGAATGCTACTGAACCCTTCATTTTAGCCTCACAACTGTGAAAAGATTAATTTGTGGGAAACCCCCTAGTTTGTGGCACTTCGTTAAAGTGGCTGGAGGAAACTCGCATACCCTTCTTGACTCTTTGGGGCAGTTCTCCCATCTCCCCGTTTGTAGGAGTGCTATACCACAGGCTCACTGGAAGGGCAAATGCACCCAAGGTGGGGCTTGGAAAGGGGTCAGATGTGGGGAAGGTGAAGTCTGTGTTTTGTGAGGAGTGCCTCCATTAATTAACATGTGCTTTCCTTGGGAGCATCTGCGGATGCAGCTCTGGACTGTGAAGCATTGCCCTCAAAGATCCCACAGAGGAGTGAAAGATCCCACCCGAAATCTGCTTCCTGTGGAGGGACTCCTTGGTCAAGATGTGTTACAACGTGAGTCAGCCGTCACTTCTGTTTTGCAGAGACTTAGGACAGAGAGATGGAAAATGTATAGTGGAAACCACAGAGAGATTTGTCATCAAAAAAGGGGACATGGACATTTTAAGGTTTTTATTGTGGATTGAGTGAAAGTTTACAGGGCAGATCATCAGTTTTACATTCAACAAATCATACACCTTGTTTCGTTACAATGATTATAATCTCCTCCATGTACCATCAGTTAACAGTATTTCTATCCACTTTAGCTGTGTTTTTTTTTTTTAAAACAAAACAAAAAAAACACTCAGACATATATTATAATTTACACCTCCAAAGGACACATTCTGCAACTCTGCCTCCTGGCCACCAGTTCTTAGTCCCTCTCT